GGGGGGGGGGGGGGGGGGGGGGGGGGGGGGGGAGGTTTTGTGAATTAGCTGATGCTGATTAATGTTCATAGTGAAGGTGGGTGAAACACTTGACCTAGAGGATGAATGTTACCTGGAGAGCAGGATTGCTCTGCTCTCTGGTTTTTGTGTGTGGCTGCCTTGTGTGTGCTGGTACTCAGTGAAAGATAAAATTGCTGCTGTGTGACACCCTGTCATAACCCTTGCTGCTCATTATGGAGCTGCTGCTCATCAGTACACAGTAAGAGTTCTACAATAGGTGCTGTTGAGCCTAAAGCCTGCTGGTAACAGCAGTTTTGTAAATTTTAGTAACAAGTCTAAATGTAAGGAAAATCACTTTTGGCAAAAACAGACTTTGTCCTTTTCTTTCTTTTGTTTAAACAACTAAAAATCCAAGATAATTTTTTCTAAACAACTCAGAGATTACCTATGATGCTGCCTGGTTCCATTACCAATTCCCAATTATCTTATTTTAGGTGTTCTTAAACCTGATTTTCTATGACTGTGTAACCACATCATCAGCTCATTCACTGCATCCCCACCCCTGCAACTAAGCTGAATCTGAGAATTGAGACTGAGTAGGTGCTGATCCCTTCACCTTGTTCAGCACAAACCCCTCAAATCCTTCTCTTTCGCCCTTTTCTTGCCAGCTAGAGTCTGTGAATTTATGAGCAGCTGAGCAGAGAGGGATGCTATCCTTTGCTGACACGGGTTGTATTTACTGAAGAGGTGGCAAGATCTCAGAAGTTTCGAGAAGTTTGAAATTTTGATTAGTTGTCACTAGATGGCTCAAAGGTGAAAGCAGCAGTGTCTTAAGGGAAGTAAGCTGAGCATAATGGAAAAGCACTATTTAAAAACTCAGGCTTATGGTCAGAGACCTCTCAGCAGCAATGGCTGAGCATAGCTGCCCTTTTTGCCTTCTGAGATCACTTAAAAATATATATATAAAAAATAAAATGACTTACCAGCAAACATTTTAATTCAGAAGGTGTAGCAGCAGATTTCTGTCATGCTTAACTTCTGCAGTGACATTGAACTAGACGAGACTTGTTCTGGAGTGTTTAATTTGTTATGAAATATATACATGTTCTTTCCCATTATTTCATAAATATTTAAATTAAGCTTGAATCCAAAAGAAAAGGTGAAGCAAGGAGCTGTTGCTGCCTAAGGGTTGGGCAGGCAGGAGGCTTTAACTCTATAAATGTGAATTCTAAGATGAACTTGTTCTAAGTGAGTTTTCTAGTTGGGGTGGAAACTAGCTGAATTATGATATTAATGTTCATTTTTGAGGAGCAAACAAGAAGCAAATACCCCTGGTGTTGCTGGTTAGCAGTGGAGCATGTTCCACTGTCTGCCAGGGATGCTAAGGGTCAGCACTGGGATTCTTGATGAGCTGATAGGTTCTTGTGGAGTTCAAGAAGTGTTTGATTCCCTTCATTGCCCACTCCATTCCCCTCACCTTCAGCTGCCTCTTGAGGAAAAACTCTTTAACTGAGCTTCCCAGAGCCCTCTGCCACCTCACCTTGGACCTACTGGTGTACCAGAGATGCTGCCCATCCCAGGCAATTTCAGTTCATCAAAGACCACCAGGCAAGGCTTCTGCCGGGGTACCTGGGAGTTGTATTTTTCTCATTCAGCTCCACTTTGGGGCTCTCTACTTCCTCAGCAGATGGCATTTTTATCATGTTTTTTGCAAAGTCCATATGGCCTACAAGAGAGAGTATCTTTTTAATTGTAAAACATGACCACCTGTTCAGATTTTAATGAGTGCACTGAGCATTTGTCTTCATACATCTACTTAAAAATAGCTGCTTTAGTTGAATGTAAAAAAACAAACAAAAAAACTAAAACTCAGTTGGGCACCAACACTTCGTATGCTGAAATAATCAATTAGTAATTAAGTGGCTAATTTTAGAACCCACTGGCCTTGCTGGTTCCCTCAGACCCGTTGTGATGAGAGCAGACAGTGATTGATTGCCCTGCTGATGCTGAGAGGCACAGCCGTGCTGGGGCCAGATGCTGCCAGGCTTTGAGCTGTTTACTGGGATATTTGGAAGGTGAATGCAACTTCGTGGCTTTGCTCTGCAAATAGACTTGTCTGCCCTGCTATGGCTCTCTCTTCCCTGCACTGCTCCAGCTGCTCACATGCAGCCATCTGCAGGTATCCCTTTCCCTGCCACTTTCTTGAAGGATAAAATCTGGTGCTCAAAAAGGTGCTCTAATGATGGGCCAGTGTTGAAACTGTAAGCAAAAATAGACTTGAAAGGCTTATCCAGTAACTGATTCCTAATAAAATGCCCTGCTAGAATCATTCTGCTCATTAAAATAACAATTGCCAGTTAACTGTTTCATAGCTCCCACAGGTCTGCTGGATAGATGAAAAACCGTGGAGTTTCTTGGCTCCAGCTTTCAGAGAAGTAGAAGAGACCAAGATGCCCAAATTTTGTTAGAATGTTAATTCTTAATTCAAAGTCCCATAGAAAATTAACCCATTTTGCAATAAGCCTGTTGCACCATCATGTTGCTCTACAGCTAATTAAAATACCCCAGTGGTAGGAGCACACTGGGATTTTGGCTGTTTGGAGGTTTAATGTTTCAGAGGTGAAAGACACAGGAGCTGTTTGAAAATGTGCTTGGGGCACAGCAGCCTCAGTGCTGATTGTAAGGGGTGCAATAGCTGCTGGGTTTCAACATAAGAGTAATTTGGCAGTGTAAGTAGTGGAGAAAACTTGGTATGGCTGCTTGGAGCATCTGCTTTTACACCTTGAGGAGCAAAAGAGCCAGAAATCCTTACCCAGAGAGACCTCTGAGCTGGTCATCTGCAGAGAGTAAGGTGCTGGAAACAGGGAAAGGTCTGCCTGCAGACCTGGTTTTCTTGAAGGTATTTCTGACACAGTCCCCACTCCATCCTGCCATGGCCACCAGTTAGTTCCTTGATCTGAGGGAGGAGCTCCCCTTGCTGGCCCAGTGGTGGTTGCAGTAACTTGATTGATGTAAACCTGGTTATCTCTCAAACCACGTGGGATTTTGAGACAGCACCAGCTTTGAAATGCTCTGCAAATACAATAATAGCTGTAGCTATTGGCATTTAAATTAATTTATATGTAATCTTTGTGATAAGCTTCCACCAGTATGATGTTATTTCCGTGGGAAGAGGGTCAGAGCAGATTTCAGCTGATGGCTGGGGTATCACAGGTTGCTTGGTGAGAGAGATGTCCAGCTTGGTTTCCATGTGTGTGGCCTTCCCTCCCTGTGCTTCCAGAATAGCAAGGGGTAATTAAATTAAATTCAACATTAAAGACAGAAAGTTGGGAAGGAAGAAGTTTATTAACCTTTTTGAGCTGGAAGGAGCACTGGGAGGGTATTTGGGGCTTGGGTCTTGTGAGGTTTTCTCTTCTTGTTTTTCTGGTTTCTTGGGAATTGACATTTAGTTGTGTAGAAAACCAAGCGTATCGCTAATTCTGCTATGATCCCTTTTATATGGTTGTGGCACTGGGGCACATCTGTGAATTAAATCTTAAAATGAACTGGAATTTAGTCTGTTCCCTCATTAGCAGAAATGCTAATTCTTTCTTGATTGGTAATGAAGTCAGAGGAGAGAAGCAAAAAAACAAAGATAGGAAGGTTATCCACCCAGAAGCAAGCATGACATATTTAATCCTGCTTTTCCACAATCCAGTTTAATAGCAGACTTGATTTTTTACCCTGGAGTTCTTCAACAGTTTTCCAAGAGGGGACAGCTTGAGGAAGGAAAAGAAGGAGGCTGGGAATTAGAAATAGCAGTTGGACTGGCTGGGCAGGGGGCTGAGAAGACAGGCAGAAGAGGTGAGAGTCCTTTTAGCTGCTGCCTTGAACAGGGTCATGAGGTTTGAAGGAGACCACATGTACAGGCACACACATATGAATGCACCTTTTTCCCTTCCTGACCATTTGAAAGGGAGCATGGACCCTTGTAGAACGAATTTTGGGGCTGTTTTAGGAAGCCTTCTTAAACACTCTTTTGCTGTAGTACAGATTGTTTATCCTAGATGGGGCTTGAAGTGAGATGTGGAGGCTGCAGGCAGGATTGTGATTATTATAATGCTGTGATTATTACAGGTCTTATGAGTCCTTCCCAAGTGATTAAATTTTTTTCCCCTTTTCTTCCTTGTTTCCAGATCACTGTGTTCACTACTACGACCTTCGCAACACTAAACAGCCCATCATGGTGTTCAAAGGGCATCGCAAGGCTGTCTCCTATGCAAAATTTGTGAGCGGGGAGGAAATCGTCTCTGCGTAAGTGTTGCCTTTTATGTAGGCTACAAACTGTGTAGCCCTCGCTTCCCAGTGCTCTTCAGGGCTGCTGAATGAGTTCACCTGTGTGGGTGGCTGCTCTCACAGGCTGCTGTGCTTTTGGGAAGCAGATCATTGCTTTTCTCTAAGTCAAAAATAGAAATTCATTCCTGTGTCACTTGGCTGTGCTCTGTCTTGTGGAGCTAAAATGCTTAAGAGGAATGTGAAGAGAACTGGATGTGGCTCCTGTGATGACTTTGGGAAGCTGCAGGTGGATTTTCCTCTCACTGTGTGCACTGAGGATGCTCCTGACCAGAGCTCTGTGATAGAGAAAGCTTTTGGCAGAGCCCTGGGGATAATAATCTGCAGTAAAGCACAACTGATGAGTGACAGAAGTGATCAAATAGTACTGCTATGTATATGGTCTGAAGAGGAGGTTTAGCCACATCCTGAAAGCAGCTCAAGTAGGACTGACTGTTTGATCTGTTCTGTGGTAATTTATTATCTGCTCTGTGAAAGCCCTTTCCTGACTTGTATTTGGGTTAGAAAGTGGACAGAGAGGAGCTGTGTTTCGTGACTCTAATAGCGTGCCACCATAAGATCTGCTATGGAGGCCCTGAGGAACAATATTCTCCAGCTTCTGTTAGGCCAGATGTGGCTGCCCCAAAGCCAGATGTGGCTGCCTCTTACCTAGATAGGTTTTCAGTCACATGGGAATGAATGTGTCAGATCATCTAGTGATAATTGACAATGACTGACTACAAACCTCTTCTCCTGAACCCCTCTTACCTAATGGGGAAGGTGAGGGGCTGCAGGGGAATGCTTGATCTCAACACATTCATGTCCAATATCTGAGAGCAGCAGGGATGGTTCACAGAGGTAGATCTAATCCCAGGAAGTATGCCTGCTACCTTGTGCTGAGCCAGTGGTTATTCAGCTTGATTCTGTCCCATGTTTTCATGCAGTGAAACAGAGCATTTTAAGGTGTTTTCAGGCTGCAAGGGAGTTACTCTGAGCTGAGCTGCATGATGGAGGATTCCCTGGTGGCTTCTGGTACTGCTTACATTTAATCAGCTTCTCTCTTCCTACTTCTATTAACATTATAACTCTATAAGGCTGCAAATTCATATGTGGAACAGAGAGAAAATTAAATTTAATGCTTTGAACCAAATCTCTGTTAGAGAAAGTGTTTAATAGAAACAGGAGAAGGCTGGGAATGTTTCACAGCCATAATCAAGTGGAGCATCATTTATGGGATGTTTTAGGACAGAACTGCCCTGTTCTGCTTTGGCCAGCATTCTGAGAAAGCATCTTCCAAAGTTCTGAGAGGAGTTACCAATAGAGCTGTTAGAGCTGTCAGACTTGGACAGGCAGCAGCAGGGTGAGGGAACCAACTGAAGAGTCCACCTACCTTCTTGTGTGTGAACAGGGAGAAATGTCAGTGCAGATTATTTTTCCTGCCTTTCCTTTTTGCAAACTTAGTAGAGGCAACAGCAGTAGTGATTCTCAAAAATCAGGCACTGATTTAAGAAAAAAATTATATGTGTATTCAGATTCTCTAGATTTCTAGCTAAAGCTGTTTTATGGATTGCATTGATTTTCTTTGCCTTGTAGAGATAGGTTTTGACCTCGGGGGTGTTCAGAACTGCCTGGTATTTAGCACAACACATTGATTACAGTGCTGATTTACAGAGACACAGATTTAACAGAGCAGCACATCCAAGATGTTTTTTTGGAGAGGATATGAAACCAGAAGAGCGGTGTAACACCACCAGGATCAATGGTCTTTGTCTCTCCTTGCAGTTCAAGGGTGGATAGCTTTCTTCTGTCATGGCATGCTTATCCTAAGCAATGTAAACATGGCTAGAGCTTGATGGGAATTCATTAACAGAAAAAACTTTCCATTAGTAATAAACTTAAGTGTTTTTATTTTAATGAAGACACCTAGTAGGTATGCCAGTAAGATATAAAGGTTAAGTGCCTATGTATCTTAGGTCTTCTTGATGGGAAGCTAAGAGCAGCAGCTGTCATAGGAGTCTGACAGCTTGTGGACCAGGGATTAGTCTTTTGCTGCTTTCTCCTGGCTTCAGGAAAGTTTAGTTTCCAGGCAACTCTGAGGCTTTTAAAAGCAGCATTTTAAAAATACAGCTGTCCTAATAGCACAGAAAGCAGCTGCCTGTACCTGTGGGCCAAAAAAAGCAGGAATATACACCTTTTTGCCTTTTCTGAGCTGTTCCTCTGAGAGTAAGGACAAGGGAAGGGAGAATGAGCAGCCGTGTAGGGCAGGGACAGATGTGGAACAAGCACCAGGCAGAGAAGCTGGATGCTCTGTTTTGGGCCTCCCATCTCAGCCTGGGGTTAGGAATGCACTCCTGCTTAAGTCACAGTATTACAGATAAAATTCATACCTTCTTTCTGGTCTGACCTCATCCTAACTAGTAATACTGACTAAAAAATCTTGCTGCAGCTCCCTTATCGCTCCTTTGTCATTCCAGCTGTCATTGAGGACTGAGATAAGCTTTTTTGCAGGATAGCACAAGGTGCATCTCTCCTCTTTTGTGCTATATTTTTAGGTAAATGGGACACTGGTGCAAGGCTAACATCTTACATCATTGGTAATATTTGATGGATGTTGTGTGATTTGAGTTTTTTCCTTTCAGCTCTAAATATTCAGGGAGCAGCAAGGTTGGTGATGTGACCTGTGTGGGGGAGCTTGGCCTGCTTCCCCTCCCTCCCAGCCAGGAGGCTGACAGGTCCTGCTCCCAATCTCTTTCAAATTTAGGGATCAGAACAGCACTATCCCTTTCTTCAAAACAGCTTCATGGGGTTTCAGTTCCACCATATCACCATTTGTTCCCCAACTGTGTATCTCAGTGAGTGCCAGAATACCAGAGCCATGTAAGCTGTGATTGCTAGGAAGTAATGCCTGTGGAGTGAGAGATTACGTTCGTGTCTCTTCAGCTTTAGGGGAAGAAATTAATCCTATATCTCCTGGAAATGTGGGATCTTCCTATTTGAGGTCTGCCAGGCAGCAGAGATTACTAACCCCAAAGGCAAAATGTTCTCTCACAGTAAACAGAAAAACATTTGAAGGCAGGAATATTTGCATAGAAATCAACGATTGTGATTTAATTTCAACGTATTTTGTATATTTTGAAAAGTAATATCTAGCTTTCCCTGACAAGGGGAAAAAAGTAGAAGCTTGAGTTCTGTATCCAGAACTATATGCAGTCTTGATTACACATGAAAAAAACAGATTTAATTTTAACAGCAACTCTGAGCCCCCATAGGTTTTTCTGTGCTGCTGCTTGGTATTGGGCAGGAGGAGGAGAATGTGCTTCAGGGCACCTGGGGAGTGAGGAGACTGTTTCCTACCCTAGCCCTGGAAAGACATGAATGAGAACTGCAGCTGGCACAGAGAAGGGAACAGATTTTAGTCATGCTGTAAAGGTTTAAAATATAAATAACTTTGGTGTGTTTTGGGTCTATGAGGGTCTGGAGGGAGGCAGTGATAGCCCAAAGGCCATACAGTTCAGTGGAGGACTCTGCAATTGAGAGGAGAAAGGAAGAGTAATACTTCAGGGAAGTTTTTATTCAAACATCTAATGTGTTTTGACAGGCTTTTAAAATAAGGTGATATCTTTCTGAGCTCAAGCTGAGCTGCATATGATTGAAAGTGGGATAAATCTCTTGTGCACTAAAGCTTCCTACATTTACCTTGTCATTGCAGTGTTGAGGAGCAGGGTGGCCAGGGAGAAGTTCCTGCCATATGGCAACAGGGTAAATTTAAGTATTGTTTTCAGGTCAACAGACAGCCAGCTGAAGCTGTGGAACGTAGGGAAGCCTCACTGCTTGCGCTCCTTCAAGGGTCACATCAACGAGAAGAACTTCGTAGGGCTTGCATCCAATGGAGACTACATTGCCTGTGGTGAGTAGAGCAGCCACCCTGACATGCTAACAGGATTCCTCAGAGCTGGGGCCTCACCAGTTGCAAAGCACACCACCACTTGTGCTATTTAGCTGCATGGGCTTCTTAATAGAAAATTTTTCTGATCTTCCACGCTCCTTCCCCTCCCAGGGAATGGCATTGGCAGTCCTGACCTACAGGGAGTCTATAGATGGTTTTCTTCCATTGCAGATGGAAGAACAGCATTGCAGCTGTTTGTGCTTGATGATTCAGGCTTGCTGTCATCAAAATCAACTACTAATGTCATTGCTGTTGATATAAATTATGTCTTTCAAGATTAACAATTGGCACATCTTCATACATCACCAGTAGGCTGGGCCACACACTTGTCACTTAGTATGGCATTCTACACGGTGAAGTAAATACTGCCCACATTACAAACAGCTCCTTAGAAGATTGAATCAATAGTTACCCCTTTGGCTGTTCTGTCCTTTCACTGCTTAAGCCAGACTGTTGAAGCCCTGTAAATCCACAGCTCCTGCTGGGAAGGCAGTGACAGGCTGATTGCTGTGGGTGAGCAGGAGGACAGCTGTGCCAGCACTTGAAGGGAGGACCTTCGCTTGTGTGTTCTCTGATTGCTGTGCAGCTTGCAAGGCAGAAATTGGGATGGATTTCTAAATAAAGCCTGTACAGTCTAGTCTCTCTTGCTTAAACCTCCGCAGACCGAATTGTCATACTTGATTATGGCAGGCAAAACTTGATAGTGCTACCTGCCTTTGAGCAGGCTGGATGTAGTGACAATTCATGTGGTAGTGCAGATGCTCTGCTCAAAATGCTTTGCCCTGAGGAAATTGTGGAATGTTCTTGGAATCCTGTATGTTTTTCAGGTGTGCTGCACACTGCAGTTGTCTTGTGATAAAACCCCATTCTGTTACTAAGTGTGATGGAAGTTTGCTGTGGAGCACTTCCAGCTACCAGGGCACCATGAGCACAAGGAAATGTATGGGCTTGTCTTAAGCAGTGAAAGAGCTAAGAACCCTTATTTCTGTTTGTCTTACCAGAACCTAATCTTGTATACTTATATTTTTTTTATTTCTAGGAAGTGAAAATAATTCCCTTTACTTATACTATAAGGGCCTCTCGAAGACACTGCTGACATTCAAGTTTGATACAGTCAAAAGTGTCCTGGACAAGGACCGGAAAGAAGATGACACAAATGAGTTTGTGAGCGCTGTGTGCTGGAGGGCACTTCCAGATGGGGTAAGATTTCTGCTTGGCTGCAGAAGGAATGCCTCCTGCTTTCTCACAAAATAGCCTTGCTGAGGGTTTGAGTGTGCTCGGTATTTTCCTGTTCATGGGAAAAGTAAGGGCACTTGCAGGTCATTGTGAGAACCTTGATGATTTGCAGGGTAACTGAAATGCTGGGGGAGAAGAGGCTGCTGTGATCATACCTCTTCCACCTGGGTATTTGAATTCCTCTATATGGCATCTGAAATCCCAAAGGTAGCATTGTATTTCTTGCACTCGATGGCTTTTGTGGGTGCATTAAGTGGGGGTTTTGTTGTTTTAATGATTGTGCCTGCAGATACTCACTGTGGAGCATGTCTCAGTGTTCCTGTGTCTATCTGGGTTTGCTCATTGGAACACAGCCTTTGTGTTTAGATGAGTAGATGTGTAAAGGAGGTGAGTGCAGGCTGCAGTCACCCGAGTGGCTGTTCCAGTGGCACTGAATTCACATCCCTAGCATATGTACTGATGTGGCAGACAGACCTGATGCAGCTTTTATGAGTGTGGCCTTTCAGAATGGGGCTGCTCTGGAGAGCAAAATGCTGCTTTTGAACTCAGAGTGCTCTTGAAAAGCTTGCATTAAAAAAGATGGTGCAAGTAACTCTTGCATGTACAGGGTTTTCAGATCAGATACTTGAAGGGACCTGTTGGGAAGAAGCAAAAAGGAGTTGATTTTAACTGCAGTCTTCCAAGTAGATTAATTGAAATGTTGTGTAATTGCTGTCCTGAGATGTCATATTCACAAAGACAGCATCTACCAATCTGCGTTCTGCATTTGTAGACACTTCCCCAACACCATGATTCATTTGTCACTGACATAAACTCACTTCAGATGGACACTTCTGAGTCAAAACCAGAAAAAACCCACATATCTGGAACTGCCCTTTGTGTTTAAAAGTAAGAAGTGGGCTGCTGTGGTTTGAACAGAGGCATGAGAGTCAGTGATGTAGGATCACCAGCTTCTTTCTGGCTGGGGACTAAGGAGGGCTTGGTATACGTGTCTCAGGTGAAGAGTTGCTGTTGTAAGTTAGGTGATTTGTCTTTCTGCTGAATAAAGACATGCTGTGGGAACCTGTGTGTCCAGAAATGCCTTTCCTTGAGCTGCCTTCACATCAGTGTTTGGATTGTCTTGCCCACCACTCTTCTGCCTGTCTCTTCTACAGGCAGTAACAGATGTCTCACCCCTGGGATTGTGTCTGTTGCTGTCCACTCTTTAGCAGTCTTTTCTCTGACAAATGTGCTCTGATAGACCTTCTGCTGAAGTGGCTGAGAAACTTCTAAGCAGTCACCAAGGGCTGTCAAGCAATTCTTCATAATCAGGATGAAAAATACTATACAAAAATGTAATAATTAAATCAGGCCCGTCAAGATCACACCAAATAATGTTCAGGCTTCACTCCATTAAGCAGCGTTCAGAATCCATTGCTGTTCTGGTCTTTTTTTTTTCCCTTCAGCTTTCGTCTGCTTTTCCCTGGGCTTCTAAATGAGCCTGTTTCTCCTGTGGCAATCCCAGTACCTGGCTCTAGCTTTTAAAGACAGCAGCAAAAAGCTGCCTGTGGGTGGTTTTTGCCTCTGTCTGTGGTACATACCAAGCAAGCAGCCTCGCTTGCTTCTGCCAAGAGTCCTCAATGTTTCCTTGCACCAAATCTTTTCACTGATCCAGCTGCACATTTCTCTTCTTTTCTACCGGTGCAACGATCCTCTCTAACCTAATTGAGACTTTGCTCATGTTCTTAGGAAATTAAATTACTGCACAGCCAAAGTTCAGTTATGTCCACGAAGTCTTACTCAAATGATGAAACTCTCCAGTTCTTCAGTTTGATAATGTTTCTTCAATTTGCCATGATTTTTTTTTCAAATGGGTTTTGCATATACAGGCTTCCCTAAGAGCTGACTTTTTTTTTTCTGATGCTGGGCTGAACCAGAGAAGGCCTGTGCCTCAAAGTGCTGTCATTAACTGCAGGATTTGGGGAACCCACAGCCTATTTCTGGCTTAATTACAATTTTGATCCTGGGTGAGTCACTCTGTTTCCTAATTATAAGAATTATAAGAATTGTCAGACATACCTCTCACCACTGGCTGTGATCCCACCTGCTCTGCTGCAGGACTGTGTGTGTGGAAGCAGCTGTGCAGAGCCCAGCACAGGCTGGGAAAGCTGCCCCAAATCCACAGGCAGTGCAGTAAGCAAGTTTTATAAAGCTGTGGGCACACTCTTCTCCATTTCTTGCTGGGCTGGTTCAAAGCATCTTGCTCATCTCTGTGCTATGGTCACCAGGCGGCATCTTCATTTTGTTCTTGAGGGGTGGGAGATACCAGCACAGCCTTTCCCCAGGGCTCCCCAGTGGAGCAGACTCTCGGTTTCCATACAGTGTTTCTGTCAAGGATTGTTCTTTAATTAACCTTTTGAGATGAGTAAGTTTCAGATCTGTCAGTTATCTTGGGAAGCATGAGTACATGTACTCCTTCACTTCATGCACTTAAGTGCAAAATCTCAGGTCCTAATTAAAACTTAACTAAAACTTTCAGATTAAATGTCATTGATTCTTTCTTAAATCTATTTTTATGTAATTCAAGCTTTTTCTTCCTCCTGAGCGTAAGTCAAGCTGTGCTAGTGGCCCTTGCCAGAACCTGTATTTTTATTTTTCCCTCTGCATTGCTTTATCTTTACTTACAAAGATGCAACGACCTTTTTTCTGGAGCTGTCACCTGTCCTACTCAAAGGTCCAGCAGCACCTTCTTTTTTACCTATATCATAGCCATAATGAGGAAGAGAAATTATTCTCCCTAAGTGCTTATTAGCATTTTGCACCAGGTTTACTCACTTTTCAATTTATAAAAGTGTTTAGAAATGAGCACTAGCTTGTAGGCTACCTATTCTGTTACACTCTTTGGAAAAAACAGGCAAACAAAAAGCCAGCAGGCTGACTGTGAAGAAAACCTCGGATTCTTGCAGTGCTGTGTTTTGGACAAAAGCAAATAGGCTGTTGGATATTTTTTAAATAGCACCTACTTACTGTTTGTGGGGAAAATCATTTCTCCCTTTTTGTTTTATGCTAAAAATTGGTCAGTATTTAGAAGAAGAGAAAGCTTCAGGATACTTTTGGTCTAAGTGACTTGATAAACATCAGTTAGATGTGGAGATGCTTTTCAGAACATTCCCTGGACTAAATCCTTTTTAATTTCCCAAGTCAAGGATTTTATAATATACCCATGCCATCCATTTTAAACAGCTTAATTTGAATCAAGAGTCTGGTCTCGAGATTGAAAACAACAGTCTTCTATTTTAGTAGCAGGTAAACAGGGGATGCTCTTGGATGCAGGGATGCTCCTGCATAGGGAAAGGAAATTACAGCAGTGGTAGCAGCTCAGTGCATTTAAGTGGGTAGAGATGTCATCTGTCTTAGAAGGGTCAGTTATGTCTGGGTATGTGGATCACTGCTGGAGGAGATTGCTTTGTACTTTGCGTTTCCCCATGTGTCCTGCAGGATGCTTTCTCCTTCCCTAAAGGGGACACCTGTTGTTTGGACCTGCTCTGTCCTCATGCAGTGTTTATATGCCTCAAACGTGGTGTGTTAAGTGATTGCACCTAAAGTAGCCTTTTTCCCAGGCATGGTTAGTGTTTCTCAGAAAGAAGGTGTTGAAAGTGAAACAAAGGCTGAACCTGCTCCCAGGACAGCAAAAAGGTATTACAGCTGAACACAGAAGCAATTTGATTATGTAGATTAAGCATGGCTCAATCTATCATAATCACTGTAAAGAAGCCATTTAATTTTGTACCTGTTTGCACAAGTATTCATTACTGCTGATAAGCAGGTTACCAGGGAAGGATTTCACAAGCAGAAATGTTGAGGCTTGGATACCAGTGAGGAGATGCAGATAAGAACAGGAGACAGCCATGCAAATTAGCTTAGGTAAAGCTTTATGTACATTTTTTTTCTTTTGGAGGAGTAAAGAAGGGAAATCTATTAAGAGTGCTGCAGTCTTTAACCAAAGAATGGGTGAGTGGTGGGATGTACTGGATGGGTGCAAGAGGTCTCTTGGGAGGAAGGCTGCTCCTGGAAGGAGGTAGGAAAGCATCTCCTCCGCCTGAGTAGAAATCCATGTGTGTGTTTTCTCACTTCATCACTCCTCAAAAGTAATTTAAATTTATGGAGGTCTCGAGACAGTCATCTAACCGTGGGTAAGAGAAGGCAGCTCTGGAACTCCAGGCTTCAGGTTGGCTATGGGCATTGCCCTGTGATGGAGGTGAATTCATAATTAGCCCTGCATGTCTGAACTTCTCTTTGTTAATCTAAGAGGATGAAATATTCCCTTCAAATAGGTTTTTGGTGCACCTTTTGAGAAAACAAGCCTTTCTTCTGTTTATTTTTCCATTCTTCTGAACATCCAGCTTTGTTTCTTAATGATGTCTGGCTTGGATTCTTTAAATAGAAACCTGTAATTGTAGCACTTTTAAGTTAGTCACTTAATAGGGCTGCAGTCTTGTTCACTGATGAAAAGTAGCCATCCTTTGTTTCCCAGTAGTCTTATAAATGGTACACAGTGTACACAGGAGCTAGTCAGGGGCTCTTATAATTTACAATCAGCAAATTGGCTCACTTCACAGGAATTAATTTAGCCAATACAAATTATTTCAGGAAGTGATTCATTGCCACTTTAAAGTACTAATTAATTTGGGTGACTTATGAACATTAAAAATGAAACCTCCTTTGTCATTCCCAAGTAACCGTATGCTAATTCAGTGTCATTCTTAAATAACTTGTATCTGCTGTAAATATAGATGTCTTGTAGCTTGAAGTACAAATTCCAGTGGGATTCTGGGGGGGAAACAAGTAGCACTTGATACTTCATTGTCTCTCTTGGCTGCTGAAATTTTAAAATCTCAAAATTGGTGAGAATTTTTTGACTTCCAGCTTCAACTCAGTAGGGCTTTGTTTTCACAGCATCCTCAACTTACCTGTTCAGGTGTCAG